CTGTCATTGTCATCTGTAGGCAGACTTGTTATGCGTTTTAGTATGAGATGTTTTTTGTGATAAGGGTGACGTAAAATTAAAACATGTTTCAGAGATCAGCGAGATAATAGCATCGAAATCAACGTGATGCTAACATTAAACGGAAAATTATAGTTTTTGATGCAGGATCAGTGCGACACTCTGCAAGCACCCGGTTTTTACATCAGCTATATCAGAGCACTCATTTATCTGTTATTTATACTTTACTGTGCATTTATCAATATGCGCTGCGTTGAATAACTCAAAAGTCGTATGTATAACTGTGGACAGAACAACTTTTATCGATAAGCGTGTTTTGAACAATGGAAAACCTTTTTTATTCAATTTTCTTGTACTACAATAGATTATTCTTTATAAGACTGGACAAGTGTTCACTTATTATACTAATACTGCTTGAATTTAATTGGAATAATGTATGTGCTTGACATTGTCTGTTTGCCTTGATGATGTCTAATGTAGTTTGGCTGAACTAGTAGCCAGCTGGTTCGTTGTGTTTCAAACCATTGACGTTACAATTAGTGTTATGAGAATATGCAACATTAATATTTAAGAATGTTTCTCTTTTAAGTTGAAGAGTCTGCCATTACAACAATGAGTAGTGCATGTAATAATATTACTTTAAACTCACCGTACCCAGACAAGTAACTAAGTATAGTTCAAAACGTATAGTTTGTTAAATTAACCTTTTATGCAAGACAATCTCGTAGAACTGAAGGCAATCTCGTACGATTGTCAAATGTGTTATTAAATTTGATACATTATAGCCTGCTGACAATGGGAACCAGTCTTTTAACCATCCCATTTGTTCCGGCAAGCAACGTGTTCTTCAGGGTAGGCTTTGTTCTCGCAGAGCGAGTATTATACATACCTTCGCTTGGAAGTTCACTGTGTATCGTGCTGTCCATCAAAAGTTTCATGAACTGCTTCAAACGTGATGTAACAGAGGTATGAATATACGAACTTATAAATCTACATTTCTCAGAAGGACCAGTAAGAGTGTAATGTGATCAATGCTCTGTTTGAATCGCAGAAACTGTTTTTTGTGGCTGTATTGCATTAAGGATTCGCGAACTACTATTTTTGTCAACTAATAATTGAGCCTTCATCTGCATTTAATTTTATGCATCTGTAGAAATAGTTTAGAATGTAAAACTACAGTGTTAGCAATAAATTGGAGTATTTTATTCGAGCGTTAGTCACAATACTGAAATACAGCACTAAAAAGACTTGTTCTACCACGTGACAAACTATCATCACTTGATTAAATCACACTGCATTTTTACCGTGTCTCAGCAAACTGATTTTTGGTGTTTCAATAAATTTATTGATTTAGTGAGTATTTATTGCGTTTGAAATCGTGAATTCAGTCTTTTATAGGTTTGGTGGAAACTATCTATTGTAATCATATGCGTAATTTATTTCGCGAAGTCCATGCATCGCAGCTCACAGTGGCGCACCGAGGAGTCGCTCTATTCGTCCGGGCTGACAGTCTGCCCCGGAAACGCTAAGATTTATTACAACTTGGCCAAAGTGTCGTTGGACAATGGACAGCGCTTCAAAGCATTAGAAAATTATCGCTTTGCACTTCAGTATTGTGTCTGTTTTTGACTCTTATTGATTGATCGGACATTGCTTTCAGACTATATCCTGATTATGAGCAAGCCCTGAACAACTTGGCGAACTTACTAAAGGACGAAGGCGAACTGACAGAGGCAGAAGTATTACTTGAAAGGGCAGTAAAGATCAAGTATGTAGTTATTAAGGACAAAAAATATTTAATGTAATGCACATTTTTTGGCTCCTTAATTATTTGAACGAACTTCTTAAAAGTGTCGACTTTCAAATATAAATAACTCTTTGACTTTCTTACTTGAATATACAATTATTAACATATACTTACATTGGTAAGTTTCTCATCGTTTCTTGAGACTTGCGAAGCATAATTTTAAGCATAACTTGATCGCCTATTTGAATAAATATGAAATAGAGTTTTTTCGAAATTGCACAAGTGTGTATGAGTAGCATTATGAAACACAGATATTTCTCAAATGAAGATTTCAATAATTTCAAAGTAATAGAATAATTTCTGTGCCATCGTTTTGAAAAACAGTAAATAAATTTAAACTAGTAAACGTGATATCGATTTAATGGTTATGGATGTTGCCATTCAGAGTGGTAATCCGTCTATATTGGTATGAAATGAAACTAACTTACTTTTCATGCTAGACCAGCGTTGCGTGGTTTTTACCACGTTACTGCCCAAGCTTCAGCTTGCATCAAACCTGCGATGCTTAAACAAATCGATAAACTTAAACGTGCATGAAACAATGTTGAAGCTTAGGCATGGGGGTGTAGGCTTAGTAATAATCCATTAAAACCGCGGCATTGCTAGCTTGGGTGGAACCGCGAATCAGTTTAAATTCATACAGGCGTAAAAACCTCTCAGGGGAGCACCGTACTGATTAACCCAGTGTTCTAGAAATGCATTTGCTGTAACTAAAGCTGTTTGGTATCGAGTTGAGACCTCCTTGGAAAGTTTAGAGAGCACGTCTGTCATCTGTCACATGCTTAAAGCCATTAGATGGAATATTCATCTTCATGAAATTCATACAAACTGCACCCCTAGGCCTTTCTGCCGATATTCCGATTCCGTGCATTCTTTCCTTAACTTCGGCTCTGCATGGCTTTGCTCCAAGGTATCGTTCGTACATGTTACAACACCGATACAAGTCATCTTTCAATACGGGTCAGCGACAATAGCCAACCAGTAGAGACCAATATTTATTCCG